TATCCAAGAAAATAATTTCGAAACTGCTTCAGATGATTTATACTCATTCCACCGAAAGGTAGCTTGAGAAAATGGAATCCAACTCTCTGGGTGGTCTACAATAAACAAATATATACGTAAGAAAGGTAAGCAGACCAACCCACTTTGTCTGCATGAGTTCTTCATGTCTATAAAAGATTTCTTCCACTAGAGGATTTCACAACAATAAGTGACTGATTTTCCATTTCAGCTCTCTTACGATCTTACGAAATTGCACTCTTATCCTTACATGGGATATAGAAAAATATGCCTCACAAATGGGAGAATTTGCAGAAGTTCTTGAACAGAAAAACAAGGTTTTTATGATTGGTATGACATTACATTAGAAAGACGATCCAAAACTATTAAAACAAATCTGTCTTGTTGACGTTGAAACTGCACTAGACCCACGATGGGTTATAATTATATGTGGAAATCAGATAAATTTGCTAAAAGCATTTGCCCTTTGCTGGTGAGCATTTGCCCCTGACATTCAAGTTGGATTTAATGATTCTGACTATAATTGGCGTTTTATTATAGAGAGAGCATATCATCTTAATATACTCGAATGAATGTGGGAGCGAATGACAGGAAAGTTCAAAACAAAGGAAGAAATCCTAAAGTGGAAATATTGTGGAAAGATAGGAGCGAAATCTGAAAATAATTTCATGATGAAAGGAAAGAAAAAGGATACAGACGAAGAGGGAACCATATAGGGATCGGGTGAGGAGGTCAAGGAAAAGAAAGATTATATTGGAGCAATTAAGATTAAAATTACTGCAGAAAAGGATTTCTTTTCCAGTTTTCTTAAACTGCCAGGATGCGTACCAATTGATATCCGAGTGTGTCTCAAAAAACGTTACCCCCATTCTGAAGTTGAAAAGGAAGGGTCGCTTAAATTCTTCTTAAAAAAGTGTGGTCTCAACACTAAAGCTGACATGCTATATGATGAAATGTGGAGAATCTATTCAGAGGCAAAAAAGACACCTCTCCTTTATCTGCAAGAAAAATGTGAGAAGTAGCTAATTATTGTATTATAAATGCATTACGTTGTCAATAACTTTTGGTAAAGCTAAGTCAAATAAATGATTATAGAGAAGTCGCTTCCATAGCTCATGTATCTTTATTCGACTCACATTATCGTGCAAATGGAATGAAGGTACGAAACCTTCTGAGCGCTTATACTTTTAAACGTGATATGGTATTTAGCTCAAGAGTATGCGAAAATATAGAAAAAGAAAAATATCCTGGTGCGTACGTTTTTCCACCTGAAAAGGAGATTGAAACGAGAAGACCTGTAACAGGATTAGACTTTGCCTCATTATATCCCAGTCTCATCATGGCTTACAATCTCTCTCCAGATAAAATAATACTAACACATG